TTTCTTTCTTTTTTTGAAAAATGTAACTGAATAACTAATAAATGTAATATAATTCCAATAGAATTATATACGTTTACACATAGTAATAGATTCTTCATCTATACACATATAAAAAATACTATATACTGACAAAGTTGATCAATTATCAATAAAAAATTATATGTATAAAATATCACATCCAAAGTTGATATTGTAACAATTTACAAGGATTGTATTTCATATATATATATATTTCAGGTATTACAGTAATACAACTGTTTTCACGTTACAAGTAGTTGCAAATAATCAAACAAGATCTGCAATCCTTTTTTTCTTCTATTTTGAACATTTCTTTTGGCATAAACAATGATGGCTGCAAACTGCAATTGAAGAAGCCTTCTCAAACATATATGAATACTGTATATTTCTTGGTTATATGGTGTCTGGATGGTCATTAGCGGCGCATGCATTCTCATCACAAGTATGTTCCCTGTGAATGTTCAATGCTATTCAATTGAGGTCTGGATTCAGTCTTTAGGAAATATATAACTTTTTTCATGAGTCTAGGGCTTTACATACATAACGTTACATAACAACAAATATCAAGACCATGCTTTAGAAAATGATATGAAAAAGAAAAGCTCATCAAATTAAACTAAATATCATCTTCAATGCATCATGGATATATTTCCTTTCAAAAAATAAATATCTGTTAAATACTTCATTTTCAAGCAATTACATATGCTTTTGCAAACTTTTTACATTGCACCACACAACCACAAACAAGCACATCAGGCATATAGGAAGATAAAGAAAGAAGAAGAAGAAGAAGAAGAAGAAGAAGAAGAAGAAGAAAGAGAAGAAGGAGAAGGAGAGGAGGAAGACACAAGAGAGAAGAAGAAGAAGAAGAAGAAGAAGAAGAAGAAGAAGAAGAAGAAGAAGAAGAGGAAGAAGAGGAAGAAGAGGAGGAAGAGACAAGAAAAGGAAGAAGAAGAAAGGGAAGGGGATGAGGATGACGGAAAGAACAAAATCAAAACGTAATCATGAAGTTACAAAATAAAACATGATATGAAAAACTGATTCATCAAGTAAGAAAATAAAGAATTGGGAAGACGATGGTAGTCTGAAGAAAGAAAAATATATAGTAGAAAGATGTAGATATGGAAGCAAGAATATGGGAAGAGGGTAAACTAATAAAAATCTATAATGGAGAATAAAGGAACTACATAAAAAGGATCAATACGAAGGATATACATGATAAGCAAAACTGAAGAGAAAAAAAGCATATTACAAAGACTGAATAAAGAACAAAGAATTAGGTCCTTTGAAGAAAAAAGGTACATAGATGAGATATATAGAAATATCTTAAGAACTAACAGAAGGTGGAAAACAAAAACATAGGAATGGGTAAACGAAATAAGGAGGATAAGAGGAAGAAATAAAGGAAAGATGTCAAAACCTAACAATACACAGTATTAGAGGAATAGAGAGAGAGAGAAAAATGAAATGAAATAAAACCAAAAATACAAGGCAAAGAATAAAATACAAAATAAAGGGAAAGATCTGAAGGATACTAAACAAAATGCAACCAGGGCATTCAAAAATACACTGGAAAAATAAAGCCAAAGAAATAAACCCAAAGATTATACAAAGTTATTTGCCAAAAGGAGTTCTGGGAGAAGCTTGAAATCAAATAGTAGTAACCAACAGTTAGAAATTAGCAAGGAAGAGCAAGGGACATGATTATCAAGGTTAAGCTATTTGAATGGACTTTTTCAAGGGATGCAGTAAACGAAAAAAAAAAAAAGTAATAACATATAAAGTCAAACTATAACTCATTTGAGAAGAAAACAGACCCCCCCCAGACGTGGCATGTGCTGGGTGGTGAGGGAAGTCTCTACCTGGTCTGTGTGCTGCCATAGGATTGCACTGGGGTAGTGGTGGCAGTAGTAGTAGAAGGGGCTGTTGGCCGCGCACCGGGTAACTTACACCATCGCCTAGACTAGAATAACAACAAGAGAGTACATATTCTTAAAGGCATGACGCTGGGAATGGGATTGATGGAGGTTGCTTATGATGCGTTGATGACCAGTACACAACATCCACAATATTTCAACTCTATAACTGCTAAAGAAGTTAACAATGGCATACATTACACCAATAACAATAATGACCAAACTAACATTACAAACATAAACAGAGAACATTTTTGGTAATCTCTTTTTAACAGGACAATTATCTATATTTTTAACACTTTTATTTCTGCCTCTATTCTGTTATTTAAAACACTTATGCTACAAACTACTTTTTCAATTAATTCATATTTATTCATAAATATAAAAACTAAATAACCCTTATTACATGACCACCTCTGAAAACAAGTGCTAACTAAATACTTCTATTTAGAGTTAAACCTCCTAAGAAACCTGAGATTAAGATGCTGGACCCCCTGCTATCTCATTAACACAATTTTAAAACCCCATTAATGTCTACATATACTACAATATATTTCAAGACAATCTATTCTACAGTTTATAAAAAAAGCTTAGCACTTGCTACTTGTTATGCCTAATGAAAGCTCTGTGCAAGTGATGTGTTTGGTGGTATAGTGCATTCATTCCTATTTAAGTATGGGCTGAAGTGTTAGGACCTACCTTCATTACATCTAGCTAATGCTTCCTCATTCAATTAATAAGATGTAAAGTATGCTCAGCAACACCTCTGCCTATACAAGGTTACTACTCTGACTACCACAAATTATTGACAAACATTTTGACCACTACTACTTTATATGATATAAATATATAATGCAAACATTTACATAATATTTAGAGAAGGAAAATTAAAATTCTTCTCTATTTTTCCACACAATTTCTTAGTTAATGGAACAAAAGCTAAACAATGTTTCAGAAACATAGTTAAACACCTATTCTCTAAGTTTCCATTAACATATTTTTCCCTATGGTAATATCAATTTTCACAGGCAAATCCTTTTTAGTATATTAATCAACAAAATTATTTCATTATCTAATAACATTTCTAACATTTTACAGACAAGGATGCTATTATTGAGAAGAAACTACTCATAAATATGTTTATACATAAAATATAGCTATATTAGTAGGATACTGCCTTTAATATCCAATTCTCATTACATGTTGGCAAAAAAGGATGTAAACAAATCCAAGGATATTTTCTAATGCGGTGTTCTTTGTTTATTAGAAAGACTAACTATGGCTTGTACTGAATGATCCACAACTGATGCTTGTGAATATGGTTAAATAGTTAGCAATACCTGCCTGCAATACCACCTCATCCTGCCGAGATGAGAACAACGGGTTAAGGTGACAAGCACGCCAAGTACAGGAAAGAGAATGCCTAATAGAATATGGAATATAAAAAAAAAAAAAAAAAAAAAAAAAAAAGAATAAGAAAAAAAGAAGAGGGAATTTTTGAAAAAAATTAATTGAATACCTGACATACGAAGTATATGTGAATTATGAGCAAAGTATCTTAATTTTTGCAAGGAAACAATCAACTAGTTTTGCCTTCCCATGTGTAAGAAAGTGTAAGAAACGAATCCTAATTCTATAATAATATCAAGTGAAAATTTGCAATATTAAATCAAACAGAGAATAAACAATACGAAGGAAGACATATTTCAACACCATAGAAAATCTATTGCATAAAGCACAACAGCCATACACAACACACATACAAGGAAGGTTTTTTATGATGAGTGGCAAGGCCTCCAGCTGGAAATCTCTTTCATTAGGATAATGGCCATGCAGCTCCAAAGACATTACACAGTCCTCAAGAGTCCTTTCTTCAATATCTAATAAGTTTCATCTTTCCCTTATGTGTGTAAAAGTCATGTATTTTTTCAGACCCACACACCCACCACCTCACTGAATAAGAAGAGAAAAACAAATGCATTTTCATTATTACTTGACCTTTTTTAAAATAGAATACAAAATGAATACTTTAATACACTACACAGTAGGTAGACATGTATTGTAATATGTAAATCCTTTCAATCTACATTCAGGTAATTTAGCCAAACCACAAGACATCATTGGGATTTATCATATATTCTTTTAATTTGATATTAATTATTTTTCTGTTCATATAAACTCATTCAAGAATATTATTTGCAACAACTTTTGCATGTATAGTGTAAAAAACAGAATGAGACTTAAGTAAGGAGAACAATCTCCAAGGAATCTTTCATGGAATATGTTCAAGCATTTGGCTTTCCCTGATAGTAAGTATAAATCTGTTTTCCTTTGGCATGAGTCTCAGACAGTCTGGCATATGCTCTTTCACTCTCTCTCACATGTGTGCACCCGTGTCCACTCATGCCTTCTTAATATACACACTACTCATGTGCACACAAAACACAAAAGCAAGCATTAACTGAACTTTTAAAAAATGCAACTCCCATTTGATACTCTTAAAAAAAAAGCAGACAACTGCATGATATATAAATTTCACCTGAAATATTCGTGTAGACCACTTTCTCTCCCAATATTCTTGCTTAACTAAAATCAAATAAAGTGCCCTTTTGGTGGTGCATATCCATCTGGGGATAGATATTTTTCTCCGCAACATAAATGCATAATCAAGCTGGCAAAATATAATAACAGTAATAGTTTGTATGGAAAAATTAAAAAAAAAAGAAAAGAAAAGAAGAAAAAGAAAAAAAAGAAAAAAATAAAAATAAAAAACAACAACTAATAAACAATAGATAAAAAAATAAAAATGATAATGATGAAAATATATAATAATATTAATGCTAATATTATCAATAATAATAATAACAATACAACAACAACAATAACAATATTAATGATAATGATGATGATGATGATGATAATAATAATAATAAAATAATAACAATATCATCATCATCCTCATTATATATTATAATCACTCAAGTGATAAAGAATATAAAAACCAAAAAAAAAACAAAAAAAACAGAAGTAATCAATAAAATACATCCAAACAACCACTGTACTCACCTGGTGGCTACCGGCAGGAACCACAACTTCTTGTTGTCGCCAAACACTTCCAGAAAGTTGTTGTATGCACCCAAGCTAAAACCATCTTGCTTGGACCCACGTGTGACTCAGGCGGAAGATCGGTGCACGAAAGACTCTGTTTGACATATCAGCTTTCTATATCATTCTATTCAATTGTTCAGCTAAAATCTATTTAACACTCATTTAATTCTCTTAAATATTCTTGGTTTTATGCAAAACTGAAGCTGGCATCAAAGTATTCTACCATTTGATCAAATGCAAGTCCCCTTACAACGAAGAATTATTAAAACATTATACATCAAAAGCCAACACACACAACCAAGTACAGTCCTAATGTAAGACATCAATAAAATTCAGCTTGGTCTCATATTGTTCATTGAGCATACGTATCAACAATGTTATATAATATACTACAAATAAATCTAGCCAGCAAAATGTGCTACTGATAAAAATGTAAGTATACAGCACTAATGCAGCCATCTACCATATTGGAAGGTCTTGCTACACAATTTCTCTTAGTATAGCTGCTAATGCTATTAAACAGGAAAAATAAAGTGGGATTATTTAGTAAGAAATAGAACATCTCTTACATTGCAGCAATCAAAAAAGAATAATGTAATTTGTTAGCATATTTCATTTTAAAAAATCATCTGAAAACTTACAGATAAATTTTTAGCTATTTACTTACATTTCTAAAGGAACCTTTTCATTTCTGAACAATTGTCAAAAATATGAAGTTTTTGAATTATTTACTATGGAATTTTGTTTTGGTAACTAAATTAGTCATATGCATTCACATACTCCTGCTTAGTCATTAATGTTTTGTTGCTTAACCCAATAGATCCAGTTAATGTGACTATCACATCATGAAAATTTGCTGAAGGCAGGAATTCCTTGCCATGAATACACAAAGCTCTTGTTGGATGATTGATGTCAGTGTGAAGGGGCTTTACATTATTTCCACTGGCAAACAAGGGGGAATGTACCATCCATGAGACAATGCAGGAAGAGCACTGGCTCCAGGGAGGACACTATTTCCATGCTTAGGATCCTATTCCTGCCTGCCATGACCAGCAGGGCAGGGTGTGTTACAGAAAACTGAATATAAAAAAATAATAAAATGCCACAAATAACAAGTTACTTTTATTATTCTTATTGCATAGAGCTGCAGACTACCTAAAGGTATAAAATGGAGTCTCCAGGATAACAGTTTATTGCCTCATTTGAGGTCCTTGGATCAGGTGAGTTAATGTTTATCAAAAACAAATTTGGTAATTTTTGTAAAATTATAATGTGAAAGGAGAAACAAAATAACAAGGGAAGGGAAAAAATAGAGAAAGAAAAGGAGAGAAGAAGCAGAGGGACTTGGGGAAGAGATTATGGGAAATTAACAAACTAAATTGCTAAAAGAACAAAGTAGGTGGGGTAAGAAGATAAGGTATAACAAATCAATAGTACTTACCCAGAGTGGACCTGTTCTGGAAACAAGGAAGATGTGGTATCCAAACAAGGATACCAGACTGATTGCAAACATGATGGATACAAAAAAGACAAACAGTATGTGGAACTTTCCTGACACTTCTCCCAACTGATTCTGTTAGAAAATAAAAACATTTGTCATAAATTTGGAAACTATAAAAGTTGCACCTTATCATAAAAATCAATAACAATCAAGAGAAGAAGGACACTAGAATGTCCATCAATTAGATCCACATCTCACTTACCTTCCAGGATTTGATGAAATATTGCAAAGTGGTTGCAGCAATGAAGAGGCAATAAATAAGAGCATAGCCCAAAAATAAGACAAAGAATTTGTAGTTTGTGAAGGCAACACAATTATTGACCCAAGGGCAATGATGGTCTAGCTTCAGCACACACTCTCCACAAACTGAAACAGTGGTGACTTCTTCTGGCTTGATCTGGACACATTTCTCACAGTAACGTATATCTGAAAGGAAATACAACATACTGATTAGTAAAATCTATGTGGTAGTATGTATTGAACTTCCCCCATTTACGGAAAGCAAGAATATATTGTCAAAGATATACCCACATGAACTGGGGAGGGAAACGGAGAGAGTGATAAAAAGGGGAAAAAAAGGGAGGAGGGAGGCAGGGCAAGGGCAGAAGAAGAAGGTTAAGGAAAACACAGGGGACAAGGAGAGGAGAGAAGGGAATATAGGTAGCGGAGATGACAGAGGAAAACAGAAATAAGGAAAGGAAATAAGGGAAAAGGCAGAAGGTGGAGAAAAAAAAAAACAACAACAACAGAACTAAATCATTTCGAACAATTACCTCCTGTCATAGTGCGATTGTACA